TCAGTTCCACCTAATTGCTTAAGCAAGCTAGGGCTCCTCTCCCCAAGCTTGGGGCCCCAGTCCTGCCCCTAGACGCCCTCTAAAGCAGCTCTTGGGACTGGGACAGGATCTCCTTCCCAACAGTCCTGTTTGTTTGTTTGTTTGTTTGTTTGTTTTTTCCCAGCCTGGAAAAGCAACTTAGGCAAAGGCCACAGTTGTTTTCTTGGGCTTCCACCACTCCCTGCAGGTCACAGGTTCTGGCCTGAGGGTACAGATGGTGGCCATAACCCTGGCTACATACTCTGTGAAAAAGAATGAATGCAGATGACACAGCGTTTGAGGTGTACAGAGGCCTACACCCAGACCCTGATGGTCACAGGGATGAGAGGACTTGAGGGAACAGGGATGTCAGTCTCAGGCCTCAGTGTCCAGAGATGAGATCTGATGGTGGCTTGGTGAGGCAGATTAGTCCAGAGGCAGCTCTGAGGCCTGAGACATCTTGTGGCTCCCTGACCAAAACCTCTCCTTCCCCCACAAGGTGTTATCTACAAACCTTGGCATGCTCAGGAAGAGGGTCCTGGGGCCGATGAATGGGAATACCCACATACTATTGGCCATACAGGATCCAGGAACCTGACTTGGACCCTGTGGTTATGGTAGCTTGTCTAGGGCAAAGGAGCAACCAAGACTCTGAGCTGCTAGGTGCAGGCCCCTGGCCTCCAGCTCTCTTCACTGCCTAGCACTTTGCCTGGGGGAAGGGAGTTCATGACATCCTGGGGACCCATCTTGCAGCAGATGGCACCCTGGGACCCACTATCCTAAGACTAAGTTCTTCCAGCGCCTGCCAGGTAAACATCTCACACCTGTGGCGGTAGCAGCAGTAGGGCAGGCTGCCAATGTTTCCATGGAGTCCAGGCTCCTAAGGGTGCTGGCTAAGAGCCACAGAAGAGCTGCTGACACTGAAGGTTTCCCAGACTCCTGTCCACAGCCTACTGGGCCCCACCAGGTATGGGACAACTAAAGATAAGATGTATACCTGGAAGTGCCCTTCCTACACCAGGGAACTAGCTGAGGTGCACAGCGCCATGAGGGCCATTTCCAGGGGAAGTGGGCCACTACAAGCCTTGCCTGGTCTCTGGGAACTACAAGACTCCCAGTCAGCACAAGGTGCAGGGTGTTGACATGATAGGTATGATGGGCCCAGGGCCCCTACCACACATGGTTCAGGCCACAGTGCTTCCTGTTCGTGCAGTCTTGGACTTCCCTTAGGCTGAAGATCTCTGTATGGTATCCTTTTGTAACAGAAAGACGCCCCAGGCTACCAAATTGACTCTCTCTGAGGAAGGTCCTGAGTTGCAGCCTTCTAGTCTCAATGAACCCAAGCTTGATGTCCCCATATGCTTTTCTCACCCTTCTGCTCAGCTCTAGGCAGGGAGGTCTCCACAAAGAGTCCCCACATGCTTCACATGGACTTAATCAGAAGGGAGACCCCTCAAATATTTCCAGTGACTCTCAGTTCCTCAACATGGAACTCCACCTTGTCAGCAGCTTTTTTTTTTTTCCCCTTTAATGTGGAAAGGGCTGAAGAAATGGCTCAGCAGTTATAATAAGCACCGGCTATTCTTCCAGGGGATGTAGGTTTGATTCTCAGAACTCACATAGTGACTTTTCTGGCCTCTGTGGGTACCAGACATGCACGTGGTGCATAGACATACATATAGGCAAAATAACATTACATAAAATAGAATAAAAAGTTAAAATAAAAATGTGTAAAAACACAACATAATGTGCTATTTTATAAATTATATTTATTTGTTTTTTGAGAGAATATCTGATGTATCCAAGGCTAGCCTCTAACTCACTATGAATGACCTCCTAACCCTCCTGCCTCTGCCTCTCTGACACGGAAGGGCAGTACACAGGCTCATACCACCATATGCCTCAATTCGTTGGCATTGGAGACATCCACCGTGCTGCGCTCCCACTATCACTGGTTCCAGAATCTCTTATCTCCCAGATGGAAAACAGTTACTGCTTGTTTTCATCTTCTGTCTCTGTGAATCTGACCAAAGTGGAGTCCTACATCTGTGGCCTTGAATCTGGCTTCAACAACAAAGCTCTCAGTTTTTATACACTACACATGTATCAGTATTCCATTTCTTTTTGTAGCTGAACAGTATGCTGTTGTTCACACATACCATGTTTTAGTTATCAATCAATAGATATTTGGGTTGTTTCTAAGTTTTGGCTATGACAAGTAAGCTGCTATAAGTATCCCAGAAAACGCGGCCAGGTGGTGGTAGTGCTTGCTTTTAATCTCAGCACTCAGGAGGCAGAGGCAGGTGAATCTCTGAGTAAGAGGCCAACCTGCTCTACAGATCAAGTTCTAGGACAGTAGGGCTACACTGAGAAACCCTGTCTCAAAAACAAAACAAACAAATACACCCAGTGTGTGGAGGTGTAGTGATTCATGATTGTCATCCTAAGACTTGAAAGGCTGAGATAAGAGGACTGCCGTCAGTTCATAGCTACCCTGGGCTACATAGTGAGTTCTGGGCCAGTCTGGGCTACAGAGTTAGACTCTCTCTCAAAGTTAAATAAATAATCCCTCAACACATTTTGTTGTCATTGTTTGGGGGAAGGGCTTTCTTCTTTGGTTTTGGTATTGACACCGGTCTAATATAGCTCAAGCTAATATAGGGAGCTTGTAACTCCCTATATTACGTAGGGTGCCATTGATATGAAAAGATTTCCTCCAAGTTGGTAGTCTCTACTCTTTTTTTTTTTTTTTCAGACAGTGTGTCTCAATGTAGCTATGACTGTCTTGGAACTCAGTATGTAGGTCAGGCTGGCCCTGAACTCACAGAGATCCACCTGCCTCTGCCTCTTGAATGCTGGGATTAAAGGTGTGTGCCACCAACACCCGGAACATCATAACTTTTTTTTTGTTTAAAAAATTTTTCAATAGGATAGCCCAAACACACTTTGAGCACATGGCCACTCAGCCTCTACCTCTTGAGTGAAAATACATTTCTCTCCTTCCTATCCTACCAGTCTCTTGGTTTCCACCCATGGCTCATGCTAGGTGTGAAGTCGGTCTTCAGATATGGAGTGGGAAGGACCAGGCCTCCCAGGGTGTAGGACTGAGGTAGCTGCTCAGGGCCCTCCTGCTTCTTCCACAGGCCAGCTGATGAGTCTGCCCATCCATCGTGCCACTGGCATGCCCCAGGCCTCTGACTGAGGCCCTAATGAGATCCCATCCCATATATAGCGCTAGCACCTTTTGAAGTGATGGTAGGCACCCGGAGCTCATCAGGGGCAGGAACTAAAGGGGCCTGTCTCTAAATAGCCTCCTCACCCAGAGAGAGCCACTGAGCTATACTCTCAGACATGTTCAGCCAAACTTCATGCTCAGCCTGGGCCCCGGGCCCCATTGTGCAGGCCCCTAAGGCAAGAAGCAGTTAGCAGCCTTCTGCAGAGCCATCCCAAGGCTAAGCCTCAAGCCCCAGAGCAGCACACCAGGGGCTCAGCCCATACAATCTTGGCAGGACCTGGATCCTGCAGGGACAGCTTCCTCCTGAGTGGGCCTCTGGGGTCCAAGAGCTGTTTGTCTAGAATCCTGTCCCTGTAGTTTTATTCACTTGTCACCTGGGAGATGATGCAAGATTTGCCTGAAAGAGGCAATGAGGCAGGGCATGAGGGCAAGCCAGGGATCCAGGCCGTATACAAGCTGCAGTAGTTTGGGAGGATTCTTGGAGTGGGGCTTGAGGAGGTGTTTGGCTTCCAACTGCTGTAGCCAGCATCATCCATGCCTTCAGCTGCCTTCCTGGGGAGGCTGAGTCAAAGGTGCTAGATGTTTTGAAAACCAGCATAGGAGGCCATGAAGGGAGCCAGGGCCCTGGAGCTTTTCTCTGTGACGTCCCTGTGAGATGGGCTGGATCCTGCTGCAATGCCCCTGAGGCTCATGCCTAGGCCTGCCCTAAATCCTCTGGGATAGACCCTTTTGACCAGCTCAGACTTCTAAGGGTCTCCTATTCTGCCTCCTTTGCCAATCTATCACTCTCTGAAGTTTTGCGTTTTTATATACTTATTATTATTAATATTATCATTATTATTAGTTTTTCAAGATAGGGTTTCTCTGTGTAGCGTTGTCTGCCCTGGAACTCACTCTGTAGACCAGGCTGGTCATGAACTCAGAAATCTGCCTGCCTCTGCCTCCGGAGTACTGGGATCATAGGTGTGCACCACCACCTCCTGGCTTGTCCTTGACATCTAAGAGCGAATACACACATATGTATGTGAAGCCCTCCAGCCCTGCAGTGGGGACAGCAGTAATAGAGGTCTTAGATTCACACTGACTAGGGTTTCTGGAGTCCTGCTGGAACGAAGTTCATGTCTGCCCTGCCGGCTGCTGCCTCATCTGCCCACCATGACTTGTGAATGTTGCCTCCCAGGCCAGGACTCTGTAAAGAGGACATGCACCTGCACTGATTTTACTCCCCAGACTCAGTTTCCCCTCCATACCTTAGAGATGTAGACAGGACGGAGCTCCCTGGCAGACGCAAAGGCCACTTCTACTCTGGTGGCTGGCCGCACTGGCCTTTAATGAGCAGGGCAGTCTGTGCCCTCAATGCCTTTGGACAAAATGGCTCTGCTGCACACTTAAGAGCGAAAAGAACACGAGCGAGCCCTTCCCTGTCCCATCGTAGACTCCAGGGCCTTGGCCTGCTCAGCTGGGCCTGAGCTAAGCTGGGGTTGGACAGAGCAGGGAGTACAGGGTGGTACCGCCGATCCAAGGACTGAGTCCAGGCCTGTTGGCTCGCCTGGTGGGAACGCGGTGCCACCAGGCTGTAGAAGGCTGTTTGCAGGGATTGTTAGTCGGCAAGCTTGGCTCCTGCACAGACTCGGGTTACAGTTCTGACAGAGTTAGCGTCTGCACCTGCGGGACTGTAGTTGCTGCCAGCTTACCAGGTGGCTGGGATGGAATTTATGTCTATTTTTGTTCTTTGCAATTGTGGAAGCCGGAGCAAGACAGCGTTTCGAAAACAGAGACGGAGAGCGCCCCACCCCTGGTCTCCAGCCCAAGCTCCTAGTTGCAAGATCCAAGCCACCAGACACGGAAAAGCCCGGGCCGCCGCTCCGGGTTGTGAGCAGTGCTCGAGCGCCTGCTGGTGGGAACAAGCGGAACTTCCGAATGCTGGGCGTTGCCACTTCCGGGCTGTTTGAGCGACGGGAAGGAGGTGGGGCTAAAAGTGGAGCAGAGAAGAGGCGTGGTCTGATTGACTGACCTGGAACGCGACCCGTGTCAGGGTGTGGCCTGGCCAGAATGTCCTGCTGATCCCAGCAACCCCCTTACAGTGCTGACATTGCCTCCCGGATCCTGGCGCGCGGGGCACACTTGTACTAGCACGCGCAGGCTTCCAAGTCAGCGTCCACTTAACCTCTCAGAAACATTGTAAACAAGAGGGAATAATCCTAGGTGGCCTGGTGACAAAGCCTGGAATGCCAGCACTAAAGAGGTGGAGAGCAGGGTGATAACGTGCTCCTCGGTTACGAGGTGTAACCCTATTTCAAGAAAGCAAACAGGGCCGGCGGGGCAGTGATCACGTGCCTTTAATCCCAGAGAGGCAGAGGCAAGTGGATTTTTGAGTTTGAGGCCAGCCTGGTATACAGAGCGAATTCCCGGACAGTTAGGGCTACACAGAAAAACCTTGTCTGGGGGTAGGAGGAAGAGGGGGGGGGAAGAAAAGAAAACAAAGAAGGGAGGCTGGAGAGATGGCTCAGCTGTTAGGAGAGAGCACTGGCTGCTCTTGTTAGAGGACCCATTTCGGTTCCCAGCATCCATATGGTTGGTGGTTCATAACTGTTTATAGCTCCAGTTCCAGGGCACATATGTACATTCAGGCAAACACACATGCACAGAAAATAAAAATAAAAATTTAAAGCATAAAAAGGGCTGGGCAGTGGTGTTGCACGCCTTTGATCCCAGCACTGGAGAGGCAGAGGCAGGCGGATCTCTGTGAGTTCGAGACCAGCCTGGTCTAAAAGAGCTAGTTCCAGAACAGCCTCCAAAACCACAGAGAAACCCTGCCTCGAAACCGCCCCTCCACCTCCCCCCCACAAAGGCGTGGTGGTAGTCACAGCACATCCCTTGTGAGTTCCAGGCCAGCCTGGTCTACAGCGCTCGTACCAGGACAGCCAGGGATACACAGTTTTTTGTGTCAAAACCCCCCCAAAAAAACAAAAAACTAACAAGCAAAAAAGGGAGATAAGATTTGGCAATACATTTTGCATCATCCATTACATCCTTTCACACCACTAAAAGGTAACTGAGGCTCAGCCTGGCAGAAGATTACAGAGGCCCTGTGACAGGGTTTTCAAGGATGGGGAACGCCTTTTTTCTCTCTGGTGGATAGGTTCTGGTGGCTGGCACTTCCATCCAGCTCTCTTTGGGTCCAGAAAGACCATCTTCTGTGGTGGGTGGAAAGTGTGGGAACTTCGGGGAGGTTGGCAAATAGTTGGTTATTTGTTTCAGTGCAAATTATTTGGCTGAGCTGGAGATAGAACCTGGGGTATTATGCATGCTAGGTGGGCCTACTACCACCCAGCTAAGAGCCTAATTCTCTATTTTACCAAAGTAATGTAGTTTCAGGACTGGTAATCCTGATGTCCTCACCAAACCACCTCAACTCTTTGCCCTGTTTCCTCTATTTTCTCACCCATCCCCATCCTGTGTGTGTGTGTATGTATGTTCCTTTCCAGACATGCATCACTTTCCTTTCTCTGCTAGGAATGGAACCCAGGGCTTTGTGTGCTTGCTAAAGACACCCTCCGAAGCGGCGGCACCGCCCCCCCCCCAACCCCCGCACCTGCACGGAGTTCTCCCCTACCTGTTTGTGGTCTCATTTGCCTTTTTTTTTTTTTTTTTTCTCTCGAGACAGGGTTTCTCTGTGTAGCTTTGGAACCTGTCCTGGCACTCGCTCTGGAGATCAGGCTGGCCTCAAACTAACAGAGATCCACTTGCCTCTGCCTCCCGAGTGCTGGGATTAAAGGTGTGCGCCACCAACGCCCTGCTAAAACCCCCAATTTTTAAACAGTTATTTGTGTGTGTATGTGTGTGGGTATACGAATGTGCCATGGTGAGAATGTGAAGGTCAGAGGACAGCTTGCAGGAGTTGGTTCTTACCTGCCATTATGAAGGTTCCATCAGAAGAACTGAGATCATAGCCTTGACAGCAAGAAGAGCCTTATCTTCCTGAGCCATCTTGTAAGCCCAGGGCACTCTCTTTCCTTAAAAAAAAAAGTAACACTATATTCCAGACTGTCCTAGAACTAAAAATGTAGCCCACATTACTCTGAAATTTATGATCAGCCTGCATCAGCCTCTAAGAACACCATGCCAAGTTATAGGAGCTCTTTATATATTCTGGCTATTGATGGTCTTTTCAGGCCATAATGGACAACTGATATTGCTTATCATTGGCTTTAACACTGATTTGTTATCTTGTTAATATTGTTCTGGCTTTGGGTATTAGAGGATATATATATATATATATGTATATATATATATTATGTGTGTGTGTATTTTATTATTTCTAATTGTGTGTATGTATGTGGGCATGTTGTGATTTCAGGGGCCCACAGAGGCCAGAGGCATTGAATACTCCAGCTGGCATTTACAGATCCTCTGGAAGAGCAGTATATACTCTTAACTGCTGAGACATCTCTCCAACTCCTGGAGTTTCTTTTCTTCTGTTAACTTATACAGCTTGCTGTTTCTTTTTTGGGCCTTTCTTTCTCTGTGTGTGGTGGTTTGAAAGAAAATGGAACCCAAAAGAAGAGGCACTATTAAGAGGTGTGGTCTCATTGGAGGAAGTGTCACTGTGGAGGCAGGATTTGAAGTCTCACATATGTTCGAGCTAAGCCCAGTGACATAGACCACTTTATGCTGCTTCTGGATCAAGATGTAAGTATTCTCATCTCCTTCTCCAGCGCTATGTCTGCCTGCATGCTGCCTTGCTTGTCACCATAGTGATAATGGATTGAACCTCTGAACTGTAGGTGAGCCCTAATTAAATGTTTTCCTTTATAAAAGTTGCTGAGGTCATGGTGTCTCTTCACAGCAATAGAAACCCTAACTAAGACTGTTTTACTTGGCCATTACATTTTTTTGACATGATCTTGCTATGTTGGTAGATTAGGCTGGCCTAAATCTTGTGGCTATCCTCCTGCCTCTGCCTCCCAAGTACTGTGTAGGCGGAGTTTCTTTCCTGCCAGGTCCTGCCACCCTTCAGGATACTTATTTTAATTAGAATATGTTTGGCCAATGACTCAGGCTTCTTACTGGCTAGCTCTTTCAATTTATTAACCCATAACTATTAATCTATGTATTTCTACATGGCCTTATCTTACTAGAGAAGGGTCTGGACCTGTCACTCTTTCCCTGCTACATGGCATCTCCAGGCAGCCTCTCTCTCTGTCCTCTCCCCAACATTTTCCTCCTCTGGTAGCCCCGCCTATACTTACTGCCTGGTTACTGGCCAATCAGTGTTTTATTCATCAACCAATAAGAGAAACATATATACAGAAGGACGTCCCCCATCAGTACTGGGGTTACCACACACAGCTTAGTTTCTTTTCTTCCAGACAGGGTTTCTCTGTGTAGCCCTGGCTGTCCTGGAACTAGTTCTGTAGACCAGGCTGGCCTCAAACTCATATATCCACCTGCCTGTGCCTACTCAATGCTGGGATTAAAAGTGTGTGCCGCCACTACCCCCACCTGGCTTCATTTTCTTTGACTTTTATACTCATGGAAGTTAAATAACTTTTATTATTTAAGTGGTTATTTAAAAAATTCACATTGAGCCAAATGGTGATTGGCACCGACTCTTTCTTTTCTTTTTCATTTATTTATTTATTTATTTATTTATTTATTTTGAGACAGGGTTTCTCTGTGGCTTTGGAGGCTGTCCTGGAACACTAGCTCTTGTAGATCAGGCTGGTTTTGAACTCAGAGATCTGCCTGCCTCTGCCTCCCGAGTGCTGGGACCAAAGGCATGCTCCACCACTGCCTGGCATCACCGACTCTTTCAAGGCTACTAAGAAAACTTATTTAAATCTCTATCCCACTAAAGAAACCAAGATTCAAGTAGAATCCTGCTTCCCAGAGAGGCTGAAGAGCAAACAGCTCACCTAGTTCACCTCACCTCTTGGAGTCTCCCAAGAAGTCTTCCTGTTTTTTGTTTTGTTTTGTTTTGTTTTCTGCCCCTCCTTATAAACCTTTCTCCACCTGGATCTTCCCTACAACTTCCTGCCAGCTAGTTGCTGACCCAGCCTCCTTACCTCAGGTGAATTTTATTTAATCAAAAACATCTTTGCATCACTAAGCAAATGTTTCAAACCATAAACAAAAGTAATACACCTTAAGATAATATTCTACAACATTCTCTGTATCAATTAAAATGACTGATACTGGCTACCTGCATGGATACCCTAGGCTCCCATGGATTTCATGGCTTTGTGTGGGGGGCAGAGGTTGTAGGTCTTTGGCTGTCACACAGGATAGCTTTAAATCTTCAGCTGCTGTACAGGGCAGCATTGGCCTTCAGCTGTCAGGCCCAGAAGGTCTGAGAGATTTCCCTATAGAGGAGGAACTTTGGAAAACTGATCTGTCTTGATGAGACAGAGTAGTCAACACAACAGTGTCCATAGTTTGGGCAGGCCCTGGTGAGGCATAGGCCAGTTCATGGCCTAGAAGTTAGCATTACAACAATCTAGGTGTCCCATTATTTTCTGTGGAGACCTTAGGGTCTCCTCTGGGAGTTGACATTTTGTCTATCACAAATGTTTTTCACTAAACATATTAGGCTTAACCTTGAAAACACATATAGGAGGCTAAGTAAAGCTTGTCCTCGTAAACAAATTACATATGTACTGCCAGGCATTGGTGGCACACACCTTTAATCCCAGCACTCAGGAGGCAGAGGCAGGCAGATCTCTGTGAGGATCTCTGTGAGGATCTCTGTGAGTTCGAGGCCAGCCTGGTCTCCAGAGAGAGTGCCAGGACAGGCTCCAAAGCTACACAGAGAAACCCCGCCCCGAAAAAAAAAAAAAAAAAAAAAAACAACAAAAAAAAAATTACATATGTACTTAGCATAGTACAAAAAACTATGAGCATAGTTTTTTGCTTTTTGTTTTGTTTTGGTTTTGGTTTTTTGAGACAGGGTTTCTCTATGGCTTTGGAGGCTGTCCTGGAACTAGCTCTTGTAGACCAGGCTGGTCTTGAACTCACAGAGATCCGCCTGCCTCTGCCTCTTGAGTGCTGGGATTAAAGGCGTGTACCACCACCACCTGGCTTAAGAGCATAGTTCTGAGCACATTAAATAATTTGATCATTTATTAGGTGACTGACCATTAACTTGCATGTCTTAATTATTTTTAGTAGTTTACCACAAGCTTAGGATTTTATAGCTTTATCCCTGTTAAGTTTGAGCCTTAAAAATTTGAAGAGAAGATTTAGTTGAAGATTCTTTAGCATCAAAGTAAAACTTTAAACCTTAAATGCAGTCCACAGAGAGACTGGGAACCTGGGAACCTTACTCACTTAATCCTTCTATCGTGCATGGTTACAGAATATCACATTTCTTATGTGGCCCACTCTATCCAACTAGCTAAACCTTAACAAAGTTAGCAAAGACAAAG